ATAGAAAAAAAACGTATACCTAAAAATTATATTGAGGACTCGTAAACTAAACAAGAGTGCTCACAACCAAAAAACAACAAAAGAACATAACTTAAATTATGGATTTTCTAACATTGCGATTTATCTCTCGATAGCAACATCTTAAGAATCGAGATAACTGGTTATACATTTTTCGCCCTCTACTTTCCAATATTATTGTTGAAAAATTCCTAACGATAGTATTATAGTTTGCAACTCCATCGACTGACTTTAATCTTTGAATTTTTGAATCTTTATAATGCAAATACCGAAATTAATTTTTATCTGAAAGCCAAATTCAAAAAAGTTTTAAAAAGGAAAACATTGTTTACAATTTTCCAATCGTATTTATACATCAGAAGAACTGTTAGCACCTGTACAACTTATAGAATTGTATGTAGTTTGATTCATTTAAATAGTTCAGAAAGTTATTGTAATCGTCGGAAAATCGATATTGAAAATTTTTACATTTTTTCACGTTTTGAAGGTTTCCGAACATTTTGGCATATCTCAGAAAAATTGGTGTGTGTGTGTATGTATGTATGGATACAATTTTTAGAGACAGATACAGAGCTAAGTGTGCAAAAAATGGCAGTTTTTTTAGAGAACTAAGCGTCCGATTTGAATGATTCACAGAACTTTCTGCTTGTTTTAACAAAATAATTGATTTTGGAAAAAAAAAATTTGTTTCAAATTTTTTTTTAACGTTTTTTTTCAATTCTTTTTGTATATCGAAAATAATCAGATTTTAATTGACTCAAGTTCTAATATACTTCAAACAAAAATTTTCAACTTTGCAATTCAGTTTATATAATTCTTATAAATATTAGACAATTTATTTATTTATAATAATGTACATATATGAAAACATTTAATATTTCTCGAACATCGTTACGGTACGGAAAGTACAAGCAATTTGCCTTAAGGCACGATGCCATACACACCACTAGTTTTCTACAGGGTTTATAATATTTTCTGCACTACTAAACTTTTACGGCTTATATGTGCGGCAAATTGCAATTAATATCAAATAGTGCGTTTTCTGTTCCTTTAGGTAAAGTAAAAATACTGATTAATTAATTTAGTTTTGAGAGGTATGGTGGTAAACTTTCATACCCGCGAACTTTAAGCCCCGCTCTAGTCTGCATAAAAAATAGAAAAATATTAATATTAGTGCATTAACGTCGATTATAAATATGTTATTCTACTATTATAATATGAATTCTTACAAATTGCCATCAGATGTGGTATCTATAAATCAGCAACGATGAGCGTCGACTTAAATAACCGACCGTTCTATATACCTTTTCCCCTTATTCATTGGTTCGCCTCTATTAGTTCTGCGTAACAAATAAAACCGCACGGTCACAATTCGCGAGAGTTCGCAAATGTTTGCTGGAAACCACCGCACGGCAACTTGTAAATATTTATAGAGCGGCGCAACGGCGATTGTGTTTATACTAACTTGTGTCGCATTCGACAGGAGGAACTTTAAGTCATTATACGAAAGTTACGAATGTTTTTTAGTTGTTTGTTTTATGTTCAATGATCATTACTTTATTTTAACCGTAGATGTGGGAACAAACTTACGAGAATATTGTAGTGCCAATTTGCAGATCGTGATAATTTTTATATAAATAAAGATACTTCAAAATGTACACATTTATTGAAAATATATTCATGCAATTCAGAAAGAATTTACAATATATTTGAGACTATGATTTGAATAACTGAGAGTGTGGTTGAATTGAGACTGATTTATGTCGTAGCTGAAGAGAGACTAGTTATGAACTGCTCCATGCTCCTGTGTGGCGGAAAGTGTGTTGCCTTATGGGATACTACATTGTTACCAATCTTTTGGTGACACCGCATGTTGGTCTATTCTGTAACATTGGACAGATTCGGGAGATGGCTTAACACCTGCTTTGTCAATAGAATTTTAGTTCGTTTAAAATTTTGATAAATTTAGTAAAGATCCAATCACAATAGTTTAAAAATAGAGAAATATTTCTTTAAATTGAAAATAGAATCAAAATTTGAACTAAGATATATGCAGTAGCATTAAAAAAATGAATCTAGTAACTTTAATAACATTAATTAGCTTTTATGAAGATTAACTTTTATAATCAAAGCGCTCCTAATAGGCCTTTAATGTTTTAAGGGGTTAGTTTTTAAACTATCAACTCTATCACAATGAGACATTTTATCTAAATTCCAAACAGTGCATCTGAGATTCTCCTTGTTAGTCAGTATAATTTACTAAAAATTTAGTATTTTTTTTATAATTTCAAAAATTTTGCAATTAGTATGATATTAGCTATTGTTTATTAACTTCCCGAATGAGATATTTTATGTTTTCATAAAAAAATCCGATTCGCTAATTTTATGTTTTCTCGACGTTTCAACCCCTTCTGAATCGAATGTTCATACTACTTTAACTTTAAAAATTCGACAAAGTTTGCAAAAATTAGTATCGTGATTTGGCATTTGTCAAAACTAGACCTTTGATCGACGTTTTCTCGAAAAAAATTCTAAAACGCCTGAACCGATTTTAGAAATTTAAAAGCCATTTGATGTATCTCAATGAGGACTATCGTTTGTCAGTTTTGTGCGACGATCTGCCGAGCCGTTTTTTTGTAATTTGAAAAAAGTGTTAAACATTTCGTCTACATTTAAGCTCATACTGCTGAATCGATTTAAAAAAAAACAAAAACTGTTCGAAAGATATTGGTTGGGAATGATACTGATTAGTTCTTGTAATTAACTGTTGAAAAAGAATTTAAGTCGATTTTTATGGATCTTTTTTGGCGATATATATCATGGTCTTATAGAACTTATTGAAATATTAATGCCTTACGACAAGTAGTTTAATTTAAAAGTCCATCAAAGTTTGATAAAATGAGTAGTTTTTTTGACGTTTGTTAAAATCAAAATTAGAGGATTTACTTGGTATAACGATAGAGTACTTGGTTTTAATGAACATACTAAATCATTAAAGTCCTACGGAAACTGGTTCAATTATAAAAATTATTGATTTTTGAACATTTGTTTTTAGAAAATACTCGTTCATCTTCAATTATGTGTAATAAATCCACTCGGAATACTTTTAATTACTCATAAATTAATTTATATTTTATTGATTAAGTCGATTATTATCACATATCGGGAAGTTAATGAAACTTGCCTCAGTTTTTTATTAATTTCTTATATGTTAAGATGCAATAACTTTGATACTACCTTTGAAAAATTATTGTTATTATTTCATTTTTTTCAATAAATTTAATTGAGCTTTCAAATTAAAATATAGTTGATAGTTGACGATGTTGAAAGAATTTCTCACAAAGTTTTGCATCATGAATATAAAATGCCCATATGGAACGTGATTTTTATAGAGTTTAATATGATACCATTTTTTCCTCTTTATTAATATATCTTACAATTAGCGTGCATATTTTTTATGTCAGATCTTGGAAAAATATTTTAAGTTGTTTATATCTTATTTATACTATAGGTGTCTTAGTTCAATATCATTAAGTGAATTTGTACTATAATGCAGAACCAAACATTGAATTGAAAGTATTCAAACTTTAGTTAGAAACCCCTTTCTCTTCAAATTAATTTTGTCAATTCTTCTTCTTATTATTGCATTTTCAATTAAAATATGCGGGTGCATTGTTGCAACCAAGCTAAAGTTACCTGTTTATACTGGTAGAGCAAATAATGCAATGGGATTATCTTATAA